CATTCTGCTCTTCCATTTGTACTTAATATTGTCACCTAGTGACTGAGGAACACAGATTTGTTTATTTTTCCTTGGGACTTGGGGACATTTAACTTGCCTCCATCGTCTCCTTAAATGTTTGTCACTGCTCATTTTCATATGGCATGAAGTTAATGGGTTTGACCATCCCAATCTGTGCAGGGGAAAAAAACCTGTTCAAAGCATTAAAGAAGGGGAGCACAACTTAAATACGAACATACTTCATACTGTTCCCAATAACTTCTTCAGCTGTAAGTGGAATTTCATAAAGTACATTGGTTCAAAAAATGGGAGCGAGACTGACGTCAAAGCTATAAATTACTGTAATTAAAAGTTAATGGAGGAAGTTTTGATGTAAACTAATAATCCTGCTAAGTGAGAGACCAAAGAATCTCAATCTATTTATTTTATCCAAGAGAAAACTAAGTGAATTGATCATGGTCTAAAAGTAACTACATGGGGAAGAGATTTTTGATGGTAGATAGCTCTTTAATCTGGTAGAGAAAGATTTAACGAAAACCAATGGTTGGAAGCTGAAGCTAGACAAATTCAGACTAGAAATAAGGGTCACTCTTTTAATAATGAGGTTAATTAACCAGTGGAACACCTTCCTTAGAGATGTTGGATTCCCTATCATTTGCATTCTTTAAATCAAGACTGGATAGCTTTCTAAAAGACACTACATCTCTAAGAGATGTTATCGACTTGATGCAGAAATGACTGTTTGAGATTTTTTGGCCTATGTGATGCAGGGCATCAGATTGGATGATGATAATGATCCCTTCTGGCCTTAATCCCTATGAATCTGTACACACACAGACACAAACACATTTGATAAGCCTATTTTTCACAATAACCTTTCACAGTGCAAGTTCTCTATGTACCTGAGTTCTGGGAAGAGAACAGAGCTATTTCCCTTTAACATGCATGCATGCTTTTTGGTGTAGGATTCACTTCAAAGCAAAGATCAGTAAAACAGAAGGTTTTTTGACTTTGCAAAACTAGAGGTGCCCAGAATCCAAGTTCCAGTTTACTGGAACCCCTACGTTTGAGAAACATGAGGGGACATTTGCCCCATTTCTAGTTGTCCTGCATCTCCATAGCCCCGTCACACTCCTCTGTCATCCATGCTCTTTGGGCTTTTCCCAGGCTTGAGATGAATGTAGCCAGAGTCACAGTGCCTGCCACACTTGAGGAGAGGCCATTCCTGGAGCCCTTCCTCTGAGCAGCTCAGGTGCACCCCCTCTCCTCTGGCGCAGTCCCTCTTCTCAAAAGGATCCTTTATTTCTCTGAATGGAAGGCAGTGAATTGTAAGACAGGTGTCTAAAACCTTTTCATTCTGTAAACCACCTCTTAACTGAGTGTTAGACCTCCACTGCCATTCATATGATTTTGCATAACTTCCCAATGACCACTACCACGATTGCTGACATGCAGAAATAATGCTAGGGAAGTATTTCTTGCATTTTGTTCTCTCTTTCTTCAAAAAGCACAGAACACTTATTGCACTAAATGCACTGCCCGCTCCACAGCTCTCTGTGTATCCCCCCTCCCAGCTGCACTGGTCCTCTCTCTCTCTCTTTCACTGCACACGTTTCTTTGTCTACGGCTACACTGCGCAGCTCCTGCGGCAGCGTATGGGGCATATGTAGCTGCGTGCTGCAGTGAAAAGCAGGCTGCACCCCTACTGCAGCATGTAGCTACTTGTGTCGGAGAAAGGCCTCAGCAGCAGGGAGCTCTCAGAGCCTTTCCCTGCTGCCTCCCCACTGCCAGAGACTTTCCTCACCACTGGAGCTGGATGCTGCATTGCTAAAAATAGCAGGGTAGACATGGGAGGTGCTGCTTGGGCATGTACAGAGCTGCGTAGGGGCCATACCCAGGTCCTTACCCAGAGGGTTCTGGCATGTCTCTACTTGCCTAAGCAGTGCCTCACCATCTACACTGCTATTTACACCCATGCTAGGGGGCATGTCATGTATGTACTCTACGTGCCACCGAAAGGAGTGTGCAGTGTATATAAACCTTTTGCCACCTGCTCCGTTTCCCTTCCTTTCCTCCTGCACATGTTTTCTTGTTCCCATTGATATACTGGACCAACTCTTCAAACTGATTTACACCAGCTATCTGCATTGACTACAGTGGAGCTATGCAGATTTACACCAGCTGATTTGGTCCACTACCTGCCTTGCTGTCTTTTTTTTCCTTGCTCCAACTCCACTGATAGCTGGCAGCTCTGTTGTTGCCTCCAATCTCCAGAGACAGAGTCTGTTTCACGTTTTCAGCTGCTTTGTCCAACTAATTCACTTTAGGCTGATGTGTTCCAGCTCCACCATAGTTGAAGGTTTTTTGAGGTTTGACCAAGATTGATTCAGCTGTTTGATGCATGCACGCATAAAACAAACACAAAACATCCTTCCCCATGCATTCAGGTGAGATTTTAAACTGTGAATTCCAAGAGAATCTTTAGACTTTTCTGTACATTTAGCATATGTCTTGGTTAGTGGTGTTGTTACTCTGCCTGTTTTCATTTGTATATAATAACCTTCAATAAAGAAAGTATTTAAAAAACCCAACCGTCTAGGATTATTTAGCTTGTCAAGATGAAAGAGGGGAAATATAACAGAGGTCTGTAAAATGATGACTAGCTACTCCTGGGGGAATTCTGTGCCAAAAAATAAAAAATTCTGCACACAACATTTTAAAATTTTGCAAAATTTTGCTTATTTGTCAAAACAACACAACATAATCATGCTGGTTTCAATTATTTTGTTAATTTATTTAAACTACAGTACAATGGATGGAGAATGGGAGTGGGGAGCATTGGAGGAAATCCCCAAATCCCCTCTGTCTAATAGTAATGTGGCTAGAATTGACCCTTTACTTCTAGTTATTAGTCAACAAATATATGCAGCCATATGCTCAGTATCACATCATAGGCAACTGAAGAGCAAGTGAGGGCTGGGGACTCAAACTCACAATTTATATTGGCTACTGACCATCTCCAGAAAGGTCAGTAGCAAACAGTTCATGGAGCACACTTTGATAGGAAATTTTTTCAGTCCAAAAATTTAGACCAGTTCTAATCCCTAAAGCAACATAAGCATGTGTAAGGTCATACTGTCCTTTACAATAAGGCTCCTTCACACCACTCTGGCAATGTAAAGGAGCCTTAACATTTTTACACCTGTTTTATACTGCTGGGGGAATTCACTAAGAACAATGGGAACAATTCACTAAGCAGGCAGGCTGCTACATTCTCCTCTGCCTGCCGGGACAGAACCTGCCCCAATCCTATCTCCTCAGAAACACCCCAAAGCCCTGCCCCTCCACACCAAGCGTGCTGCAATAGTGAGCAAGAGGGACAGAGTGTCTCTCACTCACACAACTGCCCAGCCCCACCCCCTGATAGTGATTTACCTCTCTACCAGCTGCTCCGGGCGCCCAAATCAACCTGCCTGCACTGCTGGGGAGGGGCGCATGACCGCTCTTGCAGCTTCCCTTTGCTTCTCCAGCAAAAGTCATTTTTCTGTGGGAAAACAAACAAATCTGTGGGGGCCATGAATTCTGCACACATGCAGTGATGCAAAATTCCCCCAGGAGTAACTGGTATAATGAAGCCCATCTGATTTTCTATCTCTTATTGTTGTCCCATAGCACAAGGATAGACCACTCAGTGAAATTAAAAGGCAACCAATGTATATTGCATAGTGAAAATACTTTATCTGCAACATATAATTAACAAGTGGAACTCACTCCTGCAGGATGTTAAGACAAATATAACTTATTAAGACTTTCTTTTAAAAGGTAAGATTTAAAATAATACATGTTCAAAGAGAACAGACTGCAGTTACAACTGTTAAGACAAAAATTGCAAAGGTTGCTGATCCTCATGCTTAGGGCATAATATAATCCCTGACTGTGGCTTGTTAAGGGTGAATGGTACAACCTTATCCAATTTTCCAGATGCATAGTTAGTTTATTTCCCTTTTCTGAAGCATCCAGTAAAGGTCACACTCAGAGGCAGGTCTCATACTAGAAGTCGACCTGTCAGGTGTTCCACTTCTTGGGATTTGTAAAGCTCTTTCCCAGTCATCTCTATTCTGTTATGCCTCCACCTGTGGCCCCAGGAACTGATGCCTCTCACTCTTTAGCCGTTTGCACAGGTAGAGTTTTCAGTGTAGGAGCCCTGTTTGGCTGTAATGTCGAATAGCAGAGTGACCACTTGTACCAGCATTTGTTTTCCCTGGTAGGACATGTTTCAGCCTTCCGCTCTTAGCAGCAGAAGAGCTAATGCACAGTACACCCCCAGATTGTACAGGCAGGCACATGAGCACCAGGAAATCTTCAGTGCATGCAGCTAGAGGGGAAGAGAATGACCTCCTACCCCCATTCCCTTCTTCAGTAGTCAAATAGTACAACTCTGAGCAGTAGAGGTGAGATCAACAGTGTGTCTGTCAGCAGCAGCAAAGGTAAAAGAAGATGTCATAGCAAAAAGGTTAGCAGCAGCAGCAGCAATGGCAGAATAAGAAAAATCCACCGTGAGCTCCCGCTGCGCTGTGTTCAGCCTGGCTTGCCAGTCTGAGAAGCAGAATAAAACCTCATCTCTTTTTTGCACCTGGAGATGCACAGAGCCTGCCTTTGTGCATGAGACAAACGGGAGCTATTGGTCTGGAAATCTGCAGCAGATGTGGGGCAAAGATGGAAACTGGTGAGCCCGCCCTTCATCTGAAGTCAGGGGCCTGCTTCCTTCCCAGCATATTCAGCTGTGACAATCCACCTATTTGCTTTTTTAAAGACATAATGATGCTAACAATAAGTATTTAGACAAGGATCCAACCTCTGAGTCACTATAGAGTAAATGCAGCTGGAGATCAGATGCTTCTCTTAGAGCCCCAGCAGAGGGAAACGTGACTGTATAACTTCCCTCGCCCTGTGCCCCTTAGAGGCAGGTTTTCACACTGGTCTGATTTCTCTTTTCACAGCTGTTCCTCCAAAACTGAAGAAACTGAAGAGCCCAAATGTTCACGTAGGGGAAAAAATTTCACTGAAATGTGAGGCTACTGCAGGGAATCCCCAGCCCTCCTACAAGTGGTATAAAGATGGGAAAGAACTGAAGAAGAGCAAGGACATCCGAATAAAATACGGGAATGGCAAGTAAGTATGAAACTTGATTGCTTTGCACGATAATAATTAACAAATATCTGTATAAATGTCATACATCAGACTGCCTCCTGTCAGTGTTCAAGTAGCTGTATCTATTTTTCCTGCACCCGTACCACCTTCTGCAGGGATGCTGTCAGATTTCACAAGCTAAGCACGTTGGTCTGGATTGGTACTTGGATGGGAGACCACCAAAAAATTTCTACAGTGTTGTAGGTGGCATCCTGTTTTTGGAGTTAGTATTAACTGAGGTCCCAAGATGGTGTTTGAGGGCACTGTGCTGCTGGAAGAATAAAACTGACCACTTGCAATCATTTTTACAAGAGTAGCATTATGAACCGCAGAGTCCTGGGCAAATTCCATTTCTGATTTCCTAAATTTGACTTACAGTTTCAATTGGATGTACTATTCCTCTTTACTTCCTGTCCTACACTGTTGTGTACTATTGCAACTTTCCTAAGTAGGAGAAGGGTGCCAGGGGTTCCACCAGTACAGCTTCTTTCCTGGGGAGAAGGATGGAGGAATTTATGAAGGCTAGTGCTGAGAGCTCTCTTGCTGGGCTAGTTTCGCATTAAGCGTCACAGAAGTCTTCTGAGTCCCAGCAGTGGAGATTAGTAGGAGCATCGCGAGCAGATTGAGGGAAGTGATTATTCCCCTCCATTCGGCACTGGTGAGGCCACATCTGGAGTATTGCGTCCAGTATTGGGTCCCCCACTACAGAAAATTGGACAAATTGGAGACAGTCCAGCGGAGGACAAAAAGAAAATGATTAGAGGGCTGGGACACATGACTTATGAGGAGAGGCTGAGGGAACTGGGCTTATTTAGTCTGCAGAAGAGAAGAGTGAGGGGGGATTTGATAACAGCCTTCAACTACCTGAAGGGGGGGTTCCAAAGAGGATGGAGCTTGGCTGTTCTCAGTGGTGGCAGATGACAGAACAAGAAGCAATGGTCTCAAGTTGCAGTGAGGGAGTTCTAGGTTGGACATTAGGAAAACCTATTTCACTAGGAGGGTGGTGAAGCACTGGAATGGGTTACCTAGGAAGGTGGGGGTTTTTAATGCCTGGCTTGACAAAGCCTTGACTGGGACGATTTAGTTGGGGTTGTTCCTGCTTTGAGCAGGGGGTTGGACAAGATGACCTCCTGAGGTTTCTTCCAACCCTAATCTCCTATGATTTGTTTTTGGCCATCCTTTAGTCAGCTTTTGTTGATGGAGACCCTAAAGGAGGAGGACAGGAGCTCCATATCTTCCTCAGAAGAACCCAGGGTATTTCCCTCTCTTGCTCTGGGAATGCATTGAGCTGCAGCTGTCTGAATGTGTGGGACATTTGGAAGGTATGGGAATTAAATCTTTCCTGCTTTGCCTTTAAATTGCTGCTTCCTTCTCAATGCAAAGAAGAAACTGGCCTCTTGTTCTACCTCTTTTGTCCCCTACCCATACAGTAGCTAATTCAGAGACTTCACAGAAGATCCAGCAGCTGTTTTCTCCTAATGTGGCTAAAGGTGATGATGAGGAAACTATCTTCCTAGTTCTGTAGCAGGGGAAGGGATGGGTTTCCACAGGGGTCCCTTTGGACAACACTTGGTACATGTGGGACAAAGCTCTTTTAAAGTGGAGTCAGTGTTGAGCCAGCCAGGAGCAGGGGGGAGTTGGGTAGCCAGTGCAAGGATGTGTGTGTTGCAGTTGGTGATGCTTGGCGTCACCGATCAGCTCCAGGGGCCAGAAGCCTGAGCTGATCTAAGGCCAGCAGTGTCTATTGCATAGCACCAAGGAGGGTGAGAAGATGAACATTTGGATCCTTCTCCAATGAAGTGGCCACAGTGACATCCCCCTCTCCGCCCAATAAGGGTTTAATGCTGCAGAGGGAAGGGTCATAGTTTCCTGCCCTATATAGATGGAGGCATATCCATGTCAGGAGATACATCAGCTGTCACCAAGGGTGATGAGCCTGGAGACAATGCCCCCCATTTTGTGCAGGAAAGAATTCTCCTGCCAAGCCACAGTTCTGTCATGTTAGCCTCTATCCCAGTGTCCTGGAGATAAGAGTCTTTCTATGGATGCAAGCCCTGCCCCTCAGCTGCAGTGTGTGTACGTGATGCAGCCTGAGTCCTGTGAATCAGGTGCAAGGCACAGTGTGGACCCTGCCCTTTAAGAAGGAACTGCTCCAGCCCATCTGTGCCCATTAACAGCCTTGATGGGCTCTGCTGGAGGACAAGTGTCCCCTATAAAGGGCAGCAGGAAGCTGCAAGCTCGGAAGCTGTGATAGGTAGTGAGGAAAAGTTCTTGCAAAGCAGGCCCTGAGCTTGGAGGAGCTGCCCCAGCTAGGAGGGCTGGAAGTAGCTTGTTGAGGTAGGAAGAAGACCCTGATGCTAGGGGAATTTGGAAGTCAGAGCCTGAAGACTGAGCTCCAGGCAGGTAAAGCTGGCAGTGGTGATCCAATTCTGGGAATGAGGGCTGGGGACTCCCTACCTAAGGGGAGAGAGACACTGAACTGGGGCTGGGGCCTCGAGGGCCAGATTGTGTAGGGACTAAATAAACTGGGACCTCCAGGAGGGGAATGTTTTCAAGGACCTTTGGACTGCAGGTGCAGACTTTAAGAAGCCCCTGCAGCAGGGGAGACTGGCAGGGTGCTGCAGACTGTGTTTAGGAGGCAGCTGCCCTATAATCAAAAAGGGGCTTCTCTGACCATAGCCACACCCCTGCCTAGCTTTCTGGATAAATACCCACCTGCTTATGCAGGCCAAGGGCAAACTCTCCGAGACAGTAAACTGCCACTTTTTTTGTATTTCTCTGTTCAGATGCTATAGGTGAAAGGGATACACTATGACATGGGCTAGTGAGTGTCTGGTAGCATCTCAGTGTGGGAGGTCTGGAGGTAGTGGGAGCTCTGTGATGAAGAGGGGAGATGACAGTGCCTTCCTACCCAAACACTGTGTTTGAACATAACACCCACAAGGCCTGTCTAGTAATTGGATCATCTCACTCCCAGCCCTACCTTCCACCTAGAATCCCTCACAGGTTTACTCTGACACTGCTTTCCAAAACATTCATCATACTGTGGAGAATACTACTCTCCTGGGGGAAAGAGGTCCTTTAATCCAATGGTTAAATTACCTACATCAGTGGCAGTATTTCACAATTCAGAAAAAAGTTCTGTTGATCCTTGCTGGGTCTCTTTCCCATCGGTGAAACATGGGGAAGTATTAGGCACATTTATTCTATAAGATAACATAAATATCTGTGAAGCACCCAGATCATATGGCAATGGGGTACCCAGAAGGGAAGAAGCCCCCATGGTGAATATGAGGTAGAGGTTTCCTCTCTCACGGCAGAAGTACTAGACGGTAATTAATAGTGCAGAGGCTTTTGCTGAGATTGTTCTGGCCATCTTCTCTAACTAGAGCCACAGGACCATGAACAAGGCTCAAAAAGAGAAGAAATCCCAAACTTTGAAGTAGAAGGGCTCTCCAACCACCGGGTTATAGCCCAGGTTAGCTGCCCCCAAGCTGACAGAAAAATTAGCTTTACTTCAAGACATTGTCTCCTGAGCAGTAAACAAAGTGTGTTCAACAGCACACTGCCACAGTAGAAACAGAAATACTGGGGGAGCCCTGACTCAGCCCAGTAACATCAGAACTAGAGCAAAAATGAGAGACCAGCGATATGATGAGAGATACAGCAGGACAAAGCAAATGTCTGCTACAATCTCTATGCTGTTGACCCCTTTGCTGTTAATTCCCTGGCCCTAGCTGAATCAGGGTTGACATGGTGTGGAAGCCACAGCAGTGGCGTAGGTGAGGGCATAACTCATACAGTCTGCATGTGCCCTTGTGCTGGAGAACGGGAAAGGGCAGAGATGTCTGTCTGCTAACTGCTTGTTCACAGGAGCCGTGGTCCATGCAATTGCTGAAGCCAGGTTGTCCTTCTCTCTAGCTTGAGAAAACACAATGCTGTTTTCCCTCGCTGGTTCCTTCACACCAAGACAAAACTCTGAACGTGAGTTGCTCTGCCTGCCCCACTGGTGTGCTGTTAATGCTGAGCTAGGCTCTAGCCTGGCTATATTTCAAGCTACTGAGACCGGATTAAAGAGACGGGTGAAATGACATAGGAATTGTCCATGGGCAGCCCCATATTTTGAGCCATAGCCTAGATGCCGATGGCTAGGTGTCAGCTCTCTTTCTTCTACTAGGTCTCTTCTGTGGGCTCAGTATGGTCAGAGCATTGAAAGTCCTCCTTCACCATGAGAGTCCAAAGAGCAGTCCCCAGTGTGTATTGTCCCCCAAAGCAACCACTGTCTTGGCAAAATGTCCAGGTGCATCCGCTTAAGGAATAGACTGCTCTCTGCCTACAAACTAAATCCCTTTTCTACCCTCCTCTTCAACAGGTCAGCTATCATTTTCACTGCAATCAGGCATTCCACTGGCTCGTAAGGACAGGGGATTTCAGTCTCCTTTGGGGGTAGATTAGTTTCTAACCCTGTCCTTTGCCCTTCCACACCACACAACACCCATGTAAGCCCCCATTTAGACCCCACGTGGAGCCATTCAGTCTTCGTATGCTCTTCTAATCCAAGAGTCTCCAGCAAGCCATGCAAACATTTTACACACACTGCTCTGCATGTCCTGTGTAGGAGAGGAACCGTCCCCCAGCAATTCTATGGTCTGTGCAATAAGCTACCAAACTAGGCAAACTGGTTGTATTATAACCATTCTGTATTCGGTGAGAACTTCAAGTAAAGATCTTTATCAGCCACCCCTATTGCTTCTGCCATGAGACAGACTACTCCTTGGGCAAATCTTCACTTTTCTGTGCCTCCGTTTCCCCATGTGTAAAATGGGGATAATTATACTGACCTTTGTAAAGCACTTTGAGGTCTACTGCTTCAAAGCTCTTCAGAAGCTAGTTGTGGTTTATACATGCATGGTAACATTTAGGGAGTCCCATGACACTGGACAACATATCCATCTACATAATTTATTGGAATGAATAGAATG